AGCCATAATTTCAGCATCACTGAGAGGTCGAACTGCAAAGTACTCTTCACATTGCTCAATGAAGTTTACAGGATCCTCTTCTTGAGCATCACAGAAGCTAGGAAACTCAAGTTTAACTGGGGGATTGTACTGCAAGGATGTATGATTTTCTGGATAAATTGAAGGAATGTTCTGTACATTATAAGTTTGAGAAGCTGCATTTGGAGTAGAGAAATTAGGAATAGTCTGTGCAGAATTATGCAAGCTAACCTTGAATGATTTGAACTTTTGTTCAATTTGAACATCCCTCCGTTTCAAACAGTCAATCATGGATTTTCCTATGTCCCTTATTGCTAGTTCCAATTGTTCCTTCATTCTATCTCTCTCTCTATCAAAACGATAGTTCATTTTTTCCTTCAGCGTTTGACACTTGGATTCCAACAACTCTTGAGAAACACACTCGTTCAACCTCCGTTTGTTCTCTTCCCAGCTGCCTTCAAGTGCAGTTAGTCGTTCTGATAACTTCTCTACTATCATTGTTATTGGGGTAGCTTGGTCGTGCTCACTTTCCCATTCAATTGGGGGTGGAGGTAGAAACCTTTCCTGCAGATCATACAAACTATTTTCATTTTCTTCCTCCTCTTTTTCCTCCTCTTCTTCATCAATGTACAAATTGCTGAATGTGTGCATTAACTCACCCAATGGGTCTCTTCGCTTACTAAATGTCTCAGATGAGAAATCTGGTTCAGGACCATATTCATCCTCCTCCAGAGCAGCTTCACTTGCCATACTGAAACAACTCACATACCCACTGAACACAAGAGAATATAAATGCCTACAGGTCCCTGTTCGGGCGCCAATCTGTAACAATTCGTCTAGTATGCACACTCAGACCAATTGCCACAAAGTTTTAGTTAGGGAGGGAACCGCCAGCTAATCTCTGTGTTAGTCTAAATACTGAGTAAGACACAAAATAGATGCAAGGGTGAGTATTATTCATATAAGAAAAAAGTAAAGAATACATTGAATAGTAAATACATGAGAGGGAATCACACATATCATGAACAGAGTCAAAACATTTCAACATGGAAGGAACAAGTCACATATCAACAAAACTAGCAGAACTAAAGTTCTTATCTGGATGGATAGAAAAGTCCATTCTGCTGTACTTATGTGCACGAAAGTCTACAAACGGCATGGTTGGAATCAGTCCGATACAATTCATCATAAACCATGCGAACAACTAGACTTTTCTCCTTGTCCGTCAACCCTTCAGATATCAAGGAGGTAGCAGTAGGGTGTCCTCAGGTTAAACAGTTCTTTTGATGAACAATCCTCCTGGATATTATCAGTAAGGACTAAAAAGTCCTTCTACAAACAAACAAACAAAGATCATCATACTATAAGTGCATCCACAGAGGCCAAAAATAACCTTGAATAAAACAAACAAACAGCAAATCTTACATTGACTGAGCAGAAAATCCCATAGATTCCCAGTCTGGACTCTTAAGAGTGGCACACAAGCACAATGCTGTTTGTTCCCAAACCAATCTCACTTCTTCTATCATTGCCTTACTGATATCCAAAATCAATAAGCCCACTACCTCCCCCTAGTGTCAGGTCTAAGCCTTACATACCAAGGGACAACTATTGTGACAGGTCAAAACTGTTACAACACAAACACAAAGTTATAGGCCTATAATAATAAAACATTCATAAATTGTTTTATGATTAACATATTCCTGTCTTAAGTGAACTCATTTAAAGTTATAAACGCAAATAATAGGCCTAATAATAATAATTAGGCTATTATTATTACATTTAGGCTACATATTTAGATAGGCTATAAGACGCTTTTATCAAAAAAAGAAACAAAGCAATTCGTCAAATGTCAGTCATAATACAGGTTAGACAATAATACAGGGCTGAGATTATCACAAATAAACACAAGATTTTGACGCATGTCCAAGAGTTTGTGCACAAAAAATAAATAACATTGACTTTTTGCCTTTATTAAACATTTAAAATATTCGCAAATTAATATGAAGAAAAAAAAAATAGACTTTCTAAAAACTATATTTTGCCCGCATTGCTAAATGAGAAGAGCATGTCTCTGAAACCATAGAGACATGATTTATATGTGATTTATAGGCTAATCATAATAAATGTGTCTGAAAAATAACGATGGATTTCTATTGCTTAGGCTACATAAACAGTTTTCTAGTGATGGGCGAAATGCACCTTTCGGATTGTATAGCCTAATCAGACGGTATTTGCTTTCGATTCGAATTTGTTCGTTTAAAAGTGGACATTTCAAGCTTTAGATAGGCTTTTGTTTCAGCTTATTTATGAGACGCGCTCCGGAGATCAAGCGCGCCTGATTAAACAATATTTTTAACAAAACAAAAATATTTTACAAATAGGCCTACACAACGTTTTCTTGTTATTGTGAGTTTACACAAATAAAAGTAGTAGCAAATAATTGTATTAGGCCTATGCATAATGTATTTTTTCTGTATGACCAGAAATGCTATTAGCCTATTTAAATTGTTCCACTGTTGATAGGAAGTGTTTGCGGCCGCGGCTCAGTGACAGTGCGCATTCCACACAAACACTTGGATATGCATTTGTTTGTTATAATCTTAAGGCCCGTACACACCGGGACGAATATCAGCGCGTGTTATTCGTCAGCGTTTTTCAACGCGTTTTTTGTGTTCACACCCAAGCGTTTTTCGCTGACGATAAGCCGAGTGAACATGCAAATTCATTCCCTGACATTAGATGGCGCTTAATGTAAAACAGAAATAATAATAGAATACTATCATATTCATGTCTCAATGTTTTATTATGACAGATAGAAAAAAAACGAATGAAATAATGATAGAAATAATGTCTTCTGTATTAGAAAAATATATAGGCCTAAATAATAAATAACTAAAAGAAATGCCTCCAAATGTAACAAAAAATAGCTCTCACAAACTTACAAAAAAAACGAACTAACAAAATCTATTTAAATCTTTAGTTTTCATTCTCTTTATCTTGTTTTTCTTCCTCGTCCACCTTGTTTGCCCATCTATATTTTGCTGTAGAACTGATCTTTCCCAGCAGTTTTTGTTTGAAAACCAGGACATTTTCATCACTTAAAAACAGTCAGGACAGGACGTGGAAACAGGGCATGTGTAACGCAAAGTTGAGATGTTGCCCAGAGATAAAAACATAGCAGTTGTCGGATGAACAGATGCACGAGAGACGAGAGTTGTCGTATTTCCCCGCATTTAATAAAACCACTCAAACGTCACACTCGCCCTCCTCATACACGGGGATCGAGCGAGAGAAAACAAACAAACAAACAAACATCTGGACACAATAGAAAAATAAAATAAAATAAAAGAAAGGATACAAAGAGTCGGCAGAGCGGTTATTTATCTCCTCTCCTCACTTGTCAAAATCTAACTGACATTATGCACACTATGCGCAGTTCTCATCTCAACTCAGATTTCTATAAAGCACAAAGTGACCGTTTTACACATGTCCCGGGAAAACAGGACTGTTGGTCACCCTATACTATACTATTATTACAGAAATACTAATATAAATATTATCTTATAGCTCTTTATGCTCCGAGACCAGCAGCTCAACATTCATCTTGCCCATAGGTATCTTATCTCTTCTTCGCCGTATGTGTGCTCGGCAAGACCGTTTTGTGTTTGAGCGCCCTCAAGTTGTGTTTTACTGTAACTTCAGAAGTACCAGACACGTGAGCAAACCCGCCAATCTCGTTGGTCGGATAGGTTTTGACGCGGCGCGTCAAACCAAAAAAACGAACCCGAGGCGTTTTTTAAAAAATTACGCTTTTACGCGTGGCGTTTTTCGCGTCGGTGTGAACACTCACATTGGCGCCCATTGTTTAGTCACGAGGCGTTAAACGTCGACGAATAACGCGCGCGAAATTCGTCCCGGTGTGAACAGGCCTTTAGCCCATTATTATTGTCTAAGACTGATTTGACGAATTGCTTTGTTCTTTTTTGTGGATAAAATAGGCCTATGTAGCCTAAATGGATTTTGATAGCTAACGTTAATTATTATTTGCGTTTATTACTATGAATGAGTTCACCGAAGACAGTAATATGTTTAACATAAAATAATTTATAACTTATAACCAAATCTTTTACAGTTTTTGAACTTTGTTATTATTTTATTTATTTTTTAGCTTATTCTATAGGCTACTGAGCTTTTTCTTCTAAAAAAAGGACTTTAAAGATAAAAGTAGCTTCAGTAGTTTTTTTTTAGAAAATGCATGAAATTATCCATTTTAAAAAAGGATTTTAAAAACAATGCAATGCATCCCGCATCTAAACAGGAGGCCTGGTTGAATCATGCGGCTCTGGGGGACGAGCCACAAACCCGTGAGTACGGATTGCGAAAGCATGGGCACGGTTTATGAGTTTGTGGGTACAGATTGCAAAAACTGAGGGCACGGTTTACACATCTGAGAGCACGGATTAGGAACTCGTGGGTACGGTTTATTAATCCGTGGGCACGAATTGTTAAACCGAGGGAACAGTTTAAGAATCCGTGAGTACAGTTTATAAACTGAGGGGACGGATTGCAAAACCGTCGCCTCGGATTGTTTTTTTTTCCCCCACAGGTGACTTCCCGGGCTCCGTAGTCTTGCACTATCATGCCACTTGCAGACTTAATTTTGAAATGTCTTTTTATTGATGTCCATAGTACCTAGTGATAGTATATGTTTAACTTTAGTCTAGGTTTAACTACATGTTTAATTTATGTAAATTTTTGTTTCTTTGTCTGTCTTCACCGTGGGATAGAGGGAAACGTAATTTCGATTGCTTGTATGTCTGGGGCATGTGAAAAATCGACAATAAAGCTGACTAATGACTAATGACAGGACTTGCATATTATTGTCCTATTGTTAGTTTAATTGCTTCTATTGCTCTCCTCATTTGTAAGTCGCATTGGATCAAAGCTTCTGCTAAATGATTAAATGAACACATATGTACCTGGAAGGCTTTGTTGAGCCACAGTACAGAGCAGGAGGTCATGTTGCCAATCGAGTGCAGGTTACCAGAGATAAGGTGAGTCTCATTCAGCCAGCAGCCGAACACGTCATAGGGTTTATTTCTCACGCGGGACAGCAGAGTGTAGTTCTCTACGGATCCAAGACAACAATATCAATCAAAAAATCGACTTATATTTACTGTGGGTGTGTGCAGTCGCTGTCTCTACCCAAACTGAAGACTGCAATCTCTCCAGAGGAGGAGTGATGTGGGCCCAGATAGACCCCTGACACCAGCAGGAGTGTGTCATCAGTGTTAAACTGGGAGAACTGAGTGTAGCCCCAGTTAAACTGTCGCATACTGTAGCTGTGAACCAAAGAGATGGTGCCATCTGGTTTCTCTGTGTCCCAAACCTGTAGAGACAACATTCAGTGAATAACAAAGCAGTAACAAACTAAATTTTATTTTTAACATTGAGATTTTAGTTTACATGTTATATACAGTGCTAAAAGAGAACTGTATATTTAGTGGTGCACATCACTGTTACCATCGCTCATGAGTGTCAGAGAGAGGTAAGCAAGGATTTTCTTTGTTACCCTTGTTCAAATATGCTCTTAGAAATCCACTCTGTTACATCATGCATCATGTGTGTTTCATTTGTTTGTAAAAACATTTAATTTGACAAACATTTAATACTAAATTTAATAACACTAAAAATATCATGTGGTGTAAATTAGAATATATTTTCCTTATACACCTTGAACGCACCTATAATAACCATTATTTTCAAAAAATGTTTTAAAATACATTCTAAAATAAAGTGGTAACACTTTATTTTATGGTGACAGTTCCACGTTACATGTATTTACTACAGCAATAACAATTATGGATAATTACAATTAACTAAACCAAACCCTAAACCTAACCCTATAGTAAGTGAATGTAGTTAAATAATAAAATTACTCAGTGCTTATTTGTGTAATTACACTGTGACATCATCAACTTAAGATAAAGTGTAACCTAATACGTATTTTTATACAAATATCACAAGTTATAAATAAAAAAAACATCTATTAAATGTTTGGGGTGTGGTACCACGTGACATAACCTAAACTAACCTTGCCTGTCATAAAAATGTAAAATGATCTGATATTTTTGGCATTGATACAGTCATGAGGGTCTACATAAGTCAACATCCTGTTCATAGATTTGTATTTTATTTTATTCATGTTGGTCTAAACACAAGACTTATTTGGTGGAGAAAGGTTTTTAAAATATGAATGTTTTTTTTTTTTATTTATTTTTAATATTTATTAATATTTGATAGTAAAAGATTGTGCTGAACAACTGTACAAGGTTTTGTTTCCAAGAATTTAATTCTTTTATTGAGGCTTTTTTCCTTCACTATGATATCAGAAGTTTTCAGAATTGCGAGATATAAAGTCAAAATTGCGTGATATAAAGTCGCAATTCTGAGAAAAAAAGACAGAAATGCGACTTTTTATCTCACAATTTGGACTTTTTTTCTTACAATTGCGAGTTTATATGTCGCAATTCTGACATCTTTTCTCAGAATTGTGAGATATAAACTCGCAATTGCGAGTTATCAGGACAATTCTAAGGGAAAAAAAAAGACTAACTCTTTCCCCCCTTAGAATAGTTTAAATCTCACAATTCTGACTTTATATCATGCAATTCTGACTTTATAATATGCAATTGTGACTTCATATCACGCAATTCTGACTTTATGTCTCGCAATTCTGACTTTATATCTCGCAATTGTGACTTTATATCATGGAATTCTGACTTTATATGACGCAATTCTGACTTTACATCATGTAAACTCGCAAATGAGAGAAAAAAAAGTCAGAATTGCGAGATAAAAAGTCGCAATTACCTTTTTTATTTTTCATTCTGTGGCGGAAACAAGCTTCCATACATGGGACTCTCTTTACAAAAAATTAAAATAAAAAAATGCTTGGTGCATGCTATATAAGTGTTGCATACCAGTCATGGCACCTAGATGATACTTTAGGATACTGTAAGAAATTACAGTCTGCTCCGATCAAACTTCCACTCCAATATAGATTATATTGAAATGTTCCTTCACTTAAAAGAGCTTATTTAATCAATTCCTTACAATCTTAAAAGTATCACAGTCACGTTCATCACCTATAGCGTGGGAAAGACAGCAGGTATTCAAGAACCATCTTGATTAGGGGGCTTCAAAGAGATGTTATCACCTTAAACATTTGGCCGTATTGCTTTAAATATTTGGGCCGTTCTTATTTGAAAGAAGATCAAAGACAGAACACAGCTGTTACGACAAGAGCAACTTCATTTACATTAAAAGGACAGTAACAGGATAAAAGGTTGAAGATTTGAATGTTCGGGGTTCATTCTGACGCCGGTGAACCCAAGGTGCTTCGTGTGCCTTGCCACTGCTATGCTGTAAATAAACTTCATTTTTGAGATCTTCGACGTCCACTTCATTTTTTTTTTACACTGGCGAGGTTTCCAGGAGATTTCCAACAAAAAGTGGGGAAAAAGGTAAGAAAAAGCTGTTTTCTTTCATTTAAGTGCCGTTTTGTCAGGAAACCCCTTGTTTAAAAAAATCTAGAAAAGGAAAATTTAAGGACAGAAGAGAATTTGGTTTATTCAGTCTTGGCAGGAGGAGTTGTTAAGCCTATTCTGTACGATTTTGTTTAAGATTCTAACGGAACTGAATCAACCCGAAGTAGTGTGGTGACAGAGTTGTATTTGAATTGTTGTTTCTAAAGTAATTGAAACAAAGTGCTTTAGTGTAAAGTTTCTAAAGTAACTGAAACTCGGGATCGGTCTGTTATATAATTCTGTTGAGATTCTAAAGTAAGTGAATAAACCCGAAGTAGTGTGGTGGCAGAATTATATTAGATTTGTTGTTTCTAAAGTAACTGAAACAAATGTGTATGTTTCTAACGTATATGAAACTGTTGGTGAAGTTGTTATAATTCTGAGGAAATTCTAAAGTAATTGAATAGACCCGACGCAGTGTGGTCACAGAATTATTTCACAACTATTGCGTGTTAGGAGGAGTTGTTAAGCCTATTCTTTGTTTAAGATTCTAACGGAATTGAATCAGCCTGAAGCAGTGTGGCGGCAGAGTTTTGTTGGAATTGTTGTTTCTAAAGTAATTGAAACAAAGTGCTTAAGTGTAAAGTTTCTAAAGTAACTGAAACTTGGTGTTGGCCTCTTATAATTCTGTTAAGATTCTAAAGTAAGTGAATAAACCCGAAGCAGTGTGGTTTTGCCCGACGCGTGGCAGTGTTTTAAATTTTATAAATATTGTTTAAGCCCAAAGTTCTGTGGATAAGTCAACTGTTTTAAGAAAATAACATAAAACCCGACGTAGTGTGGTTTTGTCCGACGTACTGTGACAGTGTTATTTTTTTTAACTGTTTAGTCCAGTGAAATTTATGGTCCAAAAAGACTGTGGCCATGGTTAAGTTAAGCCTCAGGTATTGTGGCTATCTTGTTTATTTGCGTCCGAAGTACTGGAGCTGTGAATAATTAGACGAATGGTAGTTATTTAAAATCAGACTTAGTTTGTGAATAACTATTAGATCACGAGATAGTCTAAAGCCAGATAAAACTTTTGAAAATGGAAGAAATTATTGTGAAATACATCGCTAAACACGGTTCTCAGGGAATGTTTGACGGAATAGAGAATATTGTTGATAAACCATATGAGTGGGCCATCTCTAAGTTTGAAAATGATCCCAAAATGCCTAAGAACAAAAATGGGAAAATTGCTAATGCGCTTCAAGCTCTTTTTGCTTCATACAAAGTAACTAGGAGGAGAGTAGATGAGTTAGAGGCTGAAAATGAGCGACTCAGTGCTGGGGTAATTTCTACAAAAAATTACTTGGCTAGTGAAACGATATGGAAAGAAGAAAAGGTCAAGATGCAGAATGAGATCGCACTTCTTAGAACTAACAATAGCATGCTTAAATCATCTGTGGAAACATTGTCCAAAAATTTGGAGGAAGCAAAGTCAGTTCATGATAAAGAGTGACACAACTGAGAAAAACCATAGTAAGACATTGTTAGATGTCAGATTGTGTAACCCAGTTCCAGAAATGCCAGATTTGCAGGAAGACAGAGCTGAGGGTTGGGAAAGAGATTCATTCAGTAGCCAATACTCAGACTGTAGAGTCAGATTTCCCATGGCCCCAGTCCTTCCTACTACGACTATGCGTGCTAGTGAAGGAAGAGAAGAACCAATGACCTCTACCATAGTCCAAGGATTTAATCCAACTGAACTAGAAACTATGATCAAGAATATTGGTAAATTTGATCCTGCCAAACAAGATCCATTAGATTTTCTGAAAAACTTGGAGGAATATGCTGAAGTGTACAATTTAACAGATGGTGATGTGTGCGTTGTGTTAAGAATGTGCTTACCTGACACTTTATCTGGAGGCTTAACTCAGAATGTAAAGGACAGAAATGCTAATAAGTCAGAGAGGAAAAAGGCACTGCTTGAAGTCTTAGGTGTGATGTCAGTTAATTGGGATAGAATATCTGAGATGCGCATGAGGAAAGGGGAGCATCCAGCAGCTTTTTCAGAACGATTATTGGAGATGTTTAAAACTTTCAGTGGCAATCCTGACATTACTAAGAATGATGTCAGTTTCAAAACTGCCTTGATTAACAAATGTGACCCACTCACCCGGTCTCCTGTGACAATGCTGGTGACCCCACTCTCTGAATACAATGACATCATTGGTAAAATGATACAGTTTTACAACAATAATGCTAATGCAAATAGTCAAATGAAAACTGTCAAATCTAGACATCCAGTTGCTGCCGTTGGCGGGAGAGAATGTTCTACTCCATGGTCTAATGGTTTCCATCATAGACCAAGGAGATTTGCAAGAATAAATTCAGAAGGTGTTGTTATTTGCTATGCATGTGGAAAAGCTGGTCACATTGCTAGACATTGTCAAGACAATGAGAGACCTCTGCAAAGCTTTGTCTGTCATGCATGTGGAAAGGATGGTCACATTGCAAGGCACTGTTTGGAGAAAAGAAAGGAAGATCAGGAAGTTGTTTGTTTTGCTTGTGGACTGATGGGGCACAAGGCAAGAAGGTGTCACTTGTCACACAAAAGAAAGATGAGCTATCATGGTTTGCTTAAAAAAATAGGAAATTTAGAAACCCAGTTGGCAATGTTGAAAGGAAATAAAGAAGCGATTCACACCTTGTCCAACGTATCAACGCATGAGCAACAGGTAGCTCAGTCTCAAGCAGATGTTGATGCAAATTAGAATTAGGTTTATGATAGTAACACGTTTTAGAAAAGGGTTTACTATCAAAAGGGGGGTGATTCTTTATGATTTATGAAACATGTTTTATTTGAATTGCTATGTAG